TGAAAAGACCCTCACTCATGTTCTCCCCAGTTGTACAGTGGGTTAAGCCACTGAGCTGGTGAACTTGCTGACTGAAAGATTACCGGTTCAAATTTGGGGAGTGGGATGAGCTCCCGCTGTTAGCCCCATCTTCTGCCAACCTAGTAGTTCAAAATCATGCTCTGGTGGGAAGGTGCAGTCATGCCAGCCACTTGATCTTGGAGGTGTCTACAGACAACACCATCTCTTCAGCTTAGAAATTGAGATGGGCACCAACTCCCAGAGTCAGACACAACTAGACTTAATGTCAGCGGAAAACCTTTACTTTTTTTACATGTTCCTCACGTATGTATCTGTCGAAATGGTGAAGAGAAACTCTGTTCCAAGAGATCACATAGCTGAGGCAGACATAGGGCAAGATACAATATTTACAAAGTCTTGTTGAGATATCCTATTTGCCATAACCACCACATTGAAATCTGCCTGAATTGTGTTTGAAACAGATTAGTAGTCAGGGAAGCTCTGGATTGTGATTGACCTTGATCAAAACTCTGGACACAGCACTCTGTATGATCTGAAGTTTCTAATTATCCTTTCAAACATTCAGTAGTCGAAATAGGATGTAACTACATCACTGTGGCACTATGGTTAAATCAGGTATTTTTCAGCACAGGTATCAATAACTCATTAAGCAACATGTTCCACACTGAGTTGAATTTCCAAATACTAAAAACCTGCTTTAGAGAATTTCCCTCTCCCTGGGTTTTGAGTGGCATGGATGGTTACACTAGGGAAGGGTTCTGGTAATACCAATATTTTTTATTATTTATTTATTTAAAACATTTATATTCCGCCCTTCTCACTCCGCAAGGGACTCAGGGCAGAGCACAACATATATACAGCAATGTGAATGTTTAGTAAAAGACAACAATTTTTTTAAGATGCCTCCGCAGTGCAGCTTTGACTTCTTTGTTCCTCAGACTATAGATGAATGGGTTCAACATTGGGATTACAATGGTATAGAAAACAGAGATTACTTTGCCTTGATTGGGAGAAGAGATGGCCCCAGGTTGCCCATACATAAAGAAAGCTGTCCCAAAAAACAAACTTACAGCCATGATATGAGATGTACAAGTGGAAAAGGCTTTGTGTCTGCCCTCAATAGATGGTATGCTCAAGATAGTTGCCACAATATAGCCATAGGAGATTAGGACAATTGTGAATGTTATAACTATGATAAACCCACACATTGCTAATAAGACAATTTCATTTATAAAGGTGTCTGAGCATGAGGCCTTCATGACAGCTGGGACATCACAAAAGAACTGGTTGATTTTCCCTGGATCACAATAGGACAAGCTGAATGTGAGACCTGTCTGGGTACAGCAGTTGAGGAAGCCAAAGAAGTATGAAACTGCCACCAAGCATATACATTTCTTTTTGGACATGATGCTATTGTAAAGCAATGGGTTGCAGATGGCAACAAACCGGTCATATGCCATTGCAGCTAGGAAGAAACATTCAGTGGTTCCAAAAAGAGAGAAGAAGAACATCTGTGTGGCACACCTATTGTAAGAAATGGTCTTATCCCCAGTTGCAAAGGTTAGCATAGCTTTGGGTGTGATGACAGAGGAATAACAAATATCCAGAAGGGATAAGTTTTTCAGGAAGAAGTACATAGGATTGTGAAGTTGGACATCAACAGTGATTATAACAATCATTCCAATATTGCCCATTAAAGTGGTTGCATAAAACAGCATAAAAAGAAGAGACAATCCTAGCTGTAGCTCCAGGTCTCCTTCAAATCCCTCCAAGATGAATTGTGAAACCAGGGTGTTGTTTTTCATATTGCTTTTAGACTAAAAAGAATGTGATGATATGATGGACATTTAAGATAAGAACATCTATTTTATTATAGTTATGCTGTATGTGCAATAATCCTACGTCCTTGGATTTGAGGTCGACAGCATCCCTTCTTGAGTATCTCACTTGTTTGTTTTTTTTCTTGAAAACCTACAAAGTCTTTGTGTTAGTTATCCAATGTGACTTGATTCCGGTCCTAAAGGATAGTAATAGAGGGGATAATAATTATAATCAAAGCACCATTAAGATTAACTGACTAATATTTTAACACTTTTGTGGTTATCACTTCAAGTCTTCATATGCAATATAAGGTGATAGTAAAGCCTCAGATTTATATAAGCATACAGTTGTGAGAGTCAAATAGAATGTAATAGGATGCAGAAAGATGCAAATCCTGACTGCTACCAAAAAACTTCAAAGGTCTGCATGAGATTATACAAGTCTCTCAGAACTTTGTAGTTATCAGCACTTGAAAGCAATAAATGTCAGATTCTTTAGGGTTCATCTTTGTGCATATCTCTGCTAAGAGATTGGAATTTGTAGTATAACTCAGTTCAACTTGTTTTAAAAATGAATATTTATCTGAATCAGCTCAAGAACACTTTTATCAAGTTTATAATATATAAAGAGAGTGGAAATATACTGTCTATTCTTCAAAGACAGCACAGTCTCAAAATGCATCCTGCATTGTTTGAAACCAGAGCTTTCCAAACTGTGTGCCATGACACTTTAGTGTGTTAGGGCTTTTTTATGAAATAAGCAATGCATTATATATATTTAAGAATATAAATAAAAATGTGTCATGTGATATGTTGTATCCCCAGACATGTAATTGTTACAGTGTGATGGTTTGCTAGTAAAACTGAATTACTGTGTCATGAAATGATGCATGTCTATAAAGGGCACCACCAAAATGAAATGTTTGAAAAATCCTGTTTTTAAATGCATACAACTTATTCTTTACGTAGCAGTTCTTTAGAAGTTTGAAACATGACAGAGGTGTAGTACTGATGGGAAAGGTTAAGTGTCACTATGATTTTGACAAGGTAATATTAAAATATAAGTTTTCTTCTATTTGGGATGGCTTGAGAATTTTGAGGTTTAAAAAGAAAGGAATAAAACAGTGTGAAAAAAGTGCCTGGGTATGAATAGTTATTTAGCTTTCAAGTTGAATATTAATAAAATATTCACTGTAGTTTAGTGGTTTGAGATCGGACGATGACTCTGGAGACTATGGTTCAATTTGCCACTTGTCATGGAAACTCACTGGATGACAGAGTCTCAGATCCAGAAAACTCATGTTAGGGTTCATCTAAGAACTATCATAAAATGAAAATGACTTGAGGCCACACAGGAACAACAATTCAACAAGTGTTGCTAGGACTTAAACTATTTGATACTAAGGGCAAAAAAAGAATAAAGCTTTTAAAAAATGGCAATCCAGGTGAAATCATTACTGACAGATTTTTCTTCCCTTGCTTCGTGAGTTCTCTGCTATAGTTTCAGTATTACTGAATGAGTACATAATGTTTAAATCTGAACAAGTCTTAAATTATTATATTACAGTGTTAATTCATATTGTCATTTGTTTCTTTGGAAGCAGTTTGGATGTATTATGGCTATATTATGCCAAGATAATTTTAGCTCTTCTCCAAATATTGCAGTCTGCACCAAGAGATTCAATATGATGGAATATTATGGATGTATCTTATTTCAAAACATAGCAGCTAACCTTGCATGCAGCAGATAGCATATCTCAACATACATTTCAGCATATATTTTAAACCTCCCCTTCTCTGCTTATTAACCAGAAAAGATGTCAAAATTTTCTAGATGATGACATAAATAAATTAGTGTATTCAATTGTCTGCAATCTATTCAAATCATGTCTATAACAACTTTGCTACTATTTATTTGTGGTGGTGTGCATAATCAAGAAACATCACTCACCTTGATTTTAATAGCTGAAGGATGGGATATACACTTTGGGTTTCCATCCTTCAGATAATTGTCATCTTGTCAAAGCATTAGATATTTTCTACTCGTAGTTGAGATATTCACAAATTTTCGGATGTTGTTCCTCCTCCTTACATTGAAATGGATGAAGCTACTCAAAACTAAAAAGCAGATCTGTCATTATAAAAACTATAGCTGAATGCCATTATTGTATGTTTTGCAGCAGTTTTATGTCTCTTAAATTAATTGGTGTTCACTTCAGACCTAATCTCTAGAGTACAAATAATAATATGTAAACTGTTCTAAAAAAAAGATTCAACATTTCCCAACAGAAAAAAACACGTGCCATCTATGTAACACTGAATCACTAAAAAGTTTTCATTTCCAAATTCCATTTGCTTACCTTTTGCACATTTTATGGATTTAGAAAGTACTGTTAATTGACATCTATCTTATTAGCTCACATTAATATGACTTCATAGGCTTCAAGTCTTTTATTCTGATGTACCAGAGTAAAAAAAAATAAAAGACAACTTCTTTTCTAGCCTGTTTGCCCTTACAGCTGTGTTTGTCCCCATTACATTTTCACCGGAGTGTTTTAGTACATTCTGAGAATAGTCTTAGAGCCCCCAGTGGCACAGTGGGTTAAATTGCTCACTGCTGAACTTGCTGACCGAAAGATCACAAGTTCAAATCTGGGGAGTGGTGTGAGCTCCCAGTGTTAGCCCCAGCTTCTGCCAACCTAGCAGTTCGAAAACATGCAAACGTGAGTAGATCAATAGGTACTACTCTGGCAGAAAGGTAACAGCACTCCATGCAGTCATGACAGCCACATGACCTTGGAGGTGTCTATGGACAACACTGGCTCTTCGGCTTAAAAATGGAGATGAGCACCAACCCTCAGAGTCGGGTACGACTGGACTCAATGTCAGGCGAAAACCTTTACCTTTACTTAAGGATGGTCTTTCAATAGTTTAACAAGTAGTGTAAGATTATGGCTTCAGGATATTAGATACTGAATCAAGCTTTGTTATCCATGCACATTGTAGTTTTGCACATAGATTATAATTGATTCTTCTACCATTCAAAGGTACAGTCCTATACATATTTACTTGAGAGTAACTAAATTTAAATAAATATTATTCATTTCACAACAGTTTGAACACTTGCTATGTTTAAGATTGGTTATGATAGTATAATTTATGGTCAAAAATGCCTCCTAAAACTTAGTCTTTTGGGAAAAAATGCTTCATATCTATATATCTATATCTATATCTATATCTATATCTATATCTATATCTATATATATATATATATATATGAGCAAAATACAACTTGTTCTGATCAGTTTCTAAGTAAAAAAGAATTGATGGTACAGGGGAGGAAAGAGAGAAGCAGTGCTTGAACTGATTTCTACAGAAACAGCAATTTTAGTAAGGGAACATCTATGAGCTGCAAGATTCAAGGGCTTTGTGACATACATGTGTTTTACACAGAGAAATATTATGAGGGTTGATAAAACAGCAACAAGAACAACTCTTACACCGCAATGTAATTCTCAAACAGAAGGTAAATAAAAACCAATCCCACACCATTTTCCACTGCAAGGTCTAGCAGAGGAATAGAGCATGCTTAATCTACTTTATAAAAATGTATGAAGTAAATGTTTCATAACATCTCTGCAACATGGCAGAGAGGAAGAAAAGAATTTCAGAGGAGAAAATAAAATATGAAAAAACTCAAATAAACTGCAGCCATGGGGTTCATCTACACCTGTCAGTTATTGTGGGACCAGTGGCAAAGTGCTGCAGAGTCTACTTGGTCCAGCTGAAGCAGATTCCCCTTACTGGACCTAGACCTTACTGCCCATATCAGTGTCACCACTGTGAGATGGCTGCAGAACTCCAGGACTGATTCTGGTTATCACCATCAACTGAGGTAACTGTACAATCAAGGAGAAGGATAAGGATGCATAGAACTCAATCATGCTTTCCCCATCAGGCTGCTCCAGAGTTTTGTCCCTGACTTTCTGTGTCATGGGGCTAAAACATCTTAAACCAAGAGTACCCCACAATTAAGACTGGACATCTCTGGATTCCACATAGACATGCAGAAGTGACTTCTCAGTGTGAGCTATATAGTCAGTGTGAGCATTCTTTAAGCCAGCCATGTTTGGAAGACCACAAGTTGTCCAACACTGCATTGTAACAGAGGACTGACTGAAGTAATCATCCATTACACTGATTATCTTGTTCCTCTTGATTTGTTTTGGTTATAAAAGCAATGAAAAATACTTTTTATATCATACTACACAGTATATTCAAACCGAATGTATTAATAAATGTCTCTTTCATAGCAAAGTCTTGCTACCCATTGTTCTCCAAATAGCCTTCTTGACCTCCTCATTTCTGAGGCAGTAGATACAGGGATTTAACATGGGTGTTAGTACAGCATAGATAACAGAAATCAGCTTGTTGGAGTTATAGGAGGAGATAGCCTTAGGCCTCACATACATGAAGATCATGGCCGTGTAGTAAAGTATAACTACTGAAAGGTGTGAGGCACAAGTGGAAAAAGCCTTGTTGCGCCCAGTAGCTGAAGAAATGCGTAGGATGGTAGCAATGATAAAGATATAGGACAAAATAGTCACAGACAGGGGAAGGACCAATATGATAATAGCTAATACAAAATCTACTATCTCAGCTAGTGACATGTCTGTACAGGCTAGATTAAGCACAGGTGAAATGTCACAAAAGAAGTGATTGATGATATTGGAACCACAGAAGGTTATTTGTGAAATGAAGGACACCTTGAAAATGGAGATAGTGAATCCACTTATCCATGATCCACCTGCCAATTGGATGCAGAACCTAGTGCTCATGATGGCTATGTATCGCAAGGGGAAGCATATGGCTATATAGCGATCATAGGCCATGACAGCTAGGAGAGCAGACTCTGTGCACGCTAAAGAAATGAAAAAGTAGAGCTGTGTCATGCATCCAGCAAAAGATATGTTCTTGTTCTGAGTAAGGAAGTCTGAGAGCATCTTAGGAATGGTGACACTGATGTACCAGATTTCCAGGAAGGACATGTTACACAGGAAATAATACATAGGCTTATGAAGGTGTTTGTTCAACCAGACTGTTATTATGATGATTATGTTTTCTGCCAGCACCAAAACATAGTTTATTAAGAAAACAAAAAAGAGCAGAAGCTGGAAATGCATTGAGGTTGAGAAGCCCACAAGGATAAACTCAGTGAGAACAGTCTTGTTTCCTTTTCCCATTCCTGCTCCTGGCTTATGCAGTTTCTTCTCTGTAGGAGAAAATAAATAGACATATGTTGAATAAAGTTACATACATTTATCACAACAGCTTCTTGTAAAACAAAAGTAAAAAAGGTTTATTTCATAACTCAAGGATTAATTGTGTTAGGCAGTATCTCACATTCAAAACCATAAAGCATTAGATAATACATGTTGTTGCTGTAGGGAGACATTACATTGCTAAGAAGTCAACTCCTATTCTGGATTCTAAGCAACTAGACAAGTTCACATCAAAGATACTACATCCCATCCCATCCTCTTGTTTTCTGTATGTCTTCCTTTCCTTCAGCTTATGTTCTACCATTCAGTGGTTCATGGGAAAATTGTAAATAGTAAGCAGTTAAAATTTTGGCATATTATTTGCAACTACTATGGAGGCAACACACTTGCTTACAGTGATCTAGATTCTAACACGAAATATGAGTTTCAATTATTGAGGTGTACTAGTGTAATGTACTGTAGTGTAGGATTAAGTAGAATATTTTTCTGCATAAATTCCTCATATTCTCCTTTTTATTACACAGTTCTCTGGAAGTGAAAAAAAACCCTATTATGTTATGTCTATCCATAGAAAGGCTTAACTAAACGGTTGGACACAGATACTGAAAAGTTCTGATTAACTTCATTAAGTCTACTGTAAATTTAACTGGAATCAATGCATGTGATTAAAACCATACTCAGGCATGTGTAACTGGACTGGAAAAACATATTTTCCTTCTTCTGCCCATTACAACCTCTCCAACTTTCGGTATATGCTGGAAAGATGGGTAAAGCTGTATATGAGGGTGTCTCACATTTCAGTCTCTATATGAGGATGTCCCACATTTCAGACACATACTTTTTCCCCTCAAGTAAATTCTTTCTACTCATGGAAGGCTAACAATGGGTTCAATGTATAGTTGCATCATCATACTTATTCTCAATAAAAAAGCTCTATTTTTAAGATAGCTAACAATTTTTAATGCAAAGGATAACTTTTTATTTAATTGTATATTATTAAATATAATATTATTACATGTTATACTTGCAGTTTTAATATTTCCAAATGAGACAAATGAGTAAAAAAAACTCTAAGAAACATATTTTCAGTTACCTCATTTCTGAGACAAACCTTCAAACGATGAAGCGGAAGAACTATAGAATATTATACAGAAAATACCTGAATGGCAGAAGCACTGAAAACTTCATGGCAAAAAAGCTGTCAAAAGACAACAAAACAATATAACCATAGGCTGTGTAAAACAATTAATCCTTTTATAAGTATAATATTGTGATGCCTTTTAAATGACATGTTTTCTGAATGCTGCACATACATTTCTTCCAGTTACTTAGTAAGTGATTCAAGCAACCCTTCTTAACTTGCATCCTTAATTATCTTCAATTCCCATAAGCTAACCTCCTAAGATTTGATTAACCTTTTAAAGGCTTATACAAATAAGACAACTATATTTTTCAAAAAAACTCCTAAGAATGTGAGCCTCTGGAACATGTCATTATAACTTGTGTTTGAATATAATGTATGGTAGTTTTCTTCATGTCACCAATTCTCTTTTGACTTCACTGACACTGCCAGTTGAAAACTGGAATGTAAGCAGCTTATTATTACTGAAAAAGCTCTATGGATTGTGATTTCAGAAATATATATGGTCAACTTTCATTGAATTAGTATTTGAGTAGACAAGCACATATGATATCCAGAACAAAAAAACCTACTGTGTGTAATGGTAATGATCAGAGTGCCAGTCAGTCCACTGCAACTTTTCCAAGGATCTTTATTGTCTTGGTTTTTCTTTTCTTTTCTACTTAAAATTATCACTCATCGTTCTGTAACCACTAATGATACACAGATCTTACTGATCTGTTTCTACACACCACTAAAGACGTTGTGGAACCATTCTATCTTTGTAGAAATTTGCTAGCTTCTCATCATTTGGACCAACATTGCTTTGTGATACCTTGAGAATAAGATAATAGAGCCATAATGTGATTTATTTATTTATTGCTACTTTCACAGGCCCAATAAAGACTACCCTGTGGTCAGGCACATTTCATGATCTTTATCTTTTCCAATGAAGCTGTCTTCCAGTCTCTTTTCTCACCTGTAGATCTCCTGTAAATTTGTAAACCAAGGTTAACTATGAGCTCCGGTGTGCTAGAATAGGTACTTGGGAATTACTGTATTGATCTGTTTTTCTTAGTGGTTCACAGCACATGCATTTAATACAAGTTAGTGGATGTAAAAGAAACAGTTCATCTGCTCAGTGACTATGCAAACAGAAACTGGTCTGAGGCTAGGACAGTAGCCACTGTATCTGCTGATTGAGGATTGGAACCAAACCGAAAAATTGTTTTTTTTTTCCTTCTCTGGTCTGCTGGGATGCACTGATGTGTATTGCCATGATCGTTCAGGATCAGCTGTAGACCAGTGTAGGGCACAGGAAATGGAGGCAATGTAACAAAGTGAGTGTTCTCATGGGAATTATGTGGTTTCTTTGGGGGGGGGGGGCAAGGGTGGTGGTAGTGGTGGTGTTTGTTTAAATTCTGGCCAGCAATGTCTGGGTGTTTCCAAACTGCATCAGCATTAAACCTATCCTGACAAACACTCTGCATGTAGATCCAACCTTTGGTTAATGCAGGGTAAATCCACATTGATGCCCTTGTCCCAGGTTAACCTGAACCAGCCTTGTGTGGTGTTTAGCCTCTATGGCAAAATCTGTGACATGTCCAATGGACTGAGCTATTCTACTAATATTTCTGTAATAAAAATCAATCTCTTCACCCATATTTTATTTTGGCTTAACCTGCAATGAAAGTTTTGATGAGTGTATGATAACTAAGCAAACAAGTCATATGTTTAATTCCACTGCTGTTTATTGAAGTGTTTCTTGAATTCCGTTCCACCAGGATTTGAAACATGTATTATTTTAAGGGATTGTAAAATTTCTTCTTTATAAATTGCAAATTTCTTTCTGGGAGGAAGTATTAACAGGAAGGATTTAAATCTTCTCATTAATTATCCATTTCAGTATTTTATTAACTACCAAAGTGCATATTACTAATAAATGCAATTGGTTAGTTTGACTTTCCATTTTTAATTCATGGAATTATTATTATTATTATTATTTTGAAAAAGAAGGCATAAGCAAAGAGGCAAAAGGCGGGAGGAAGGGGAGGTGAGAATAATCTCACCACTAGTTTTAAAAAATATTCTTGTTTTCATGGGAAGCTTTTTTTCTCTTCAGTTAAATTAAATGAGACTGGAAGAGCACATCACAGATTCAGTGATAGTGATAGATTACTGATTACAAACTCTGGTATTCTGGGTTTTGGGACCTTAGATGCCAGCAGCCTCAGATACTTTGATCAATGATTGGATATTCTGGCAGCTTAAGTCCAAAACACCTAGAGGACCAGAGTTGAGAAATCACCATTGGTAGATGTGCCCTGTGGATATCTACTTAGACATAAGTCCTACTCAGTTCATTTTGTCTTTCTTCTATGCAAGTTTGTTTAGACCTGCACATCTAGATCTTTCTTTCCTGAATGGAAAATGAAATAGTCTGCATCAGGGTTTAATCTGACAATGATTGCATTTACACTGTAGAAGCAATGCAGTTTTAACATCACTTTAATTGCCATGGCTCAATTCCATAGAATCGTGAGAGCTCTAGTTTTACAAGGTCTTCATCCTTCTCTGCCAAAGAGCGCTGATGCCTCACCAAACTACAGCTCCCAAGATTCCATAGCGTTGAGCAGTAGCCATTAAAGTGGTATCAAACTACATTAATTCTATTGTGTCGATATACCCAATGTCTTCCTCAATGCATTTTTTACTTCTTTATTTCTGAGGGAGTATATCATCGGATTCAGGAGGGGCACTACTATAGTGTACAGAACGGACACAAGTTTATTGGAGTTGTAGGCATACATAGCTTTGGGTTGTGCATAAGTGAAGAGAGTGGTGGAATAGAACAGTACCACCACTGTGAGATGAGAGCTGCAAGTGGAGAAGGCTTTCTTCCTTCCTTGAGCTGAAGGAATTTTCAAGACTGTTGAGATGATGAAGATATATGACATAATGACAATGCAGAGTGGAACCATGATTACTATAAGAGCCAGAATAAAATCTACTAGCTCAGCCATGGATGAATCAGTGCAGGAGATATTCAAAAGGGGTGAAATGTCACAGAAGTAGTGGTTGATTTTTTCAATGCGGCAGTATTTTAGCCTGCCAATGAAGCCGAGCTTGATTGCAGAAGTAATTAAGCCACATGTCCAACATCCTGCTGACAACTGAGCACAGAAATTATGGCTCATGATAGCTGGGTAACGCAATGGGTAACATATGGCCAAATATCGGTCATAGGCCATGACAGCCAGAAGAATGTATTCACTGCACACAAAAGTGACAAAGAAATATAGCTGGGTCAGGCAGCCTTGGAAAGTGATCCGTTTGTCTTGCACAAGAATATCTGTTAGCATCTTTGGGACAATTACTGTTACATACCAGACTTCAAGGAAGGAGAGGTTACACAAGAAGAAGTACATTGGTTTATGAAGGTTATTGTTAACCCAAACAACTACAATGATTATGAGATTTTCCATCAAGGTCAGCAAGTAAACAAGGCCAAACAGGACAAAAAGGAGAACCTGAAGTTCTGCAGATGTGGAAAATCCCAGGAGGATGAAATAGCTGACATTTGTCTGGTTGGTTTCTTCCATTCTTTGAATGCAAGGTACAATCTAAAACTTCCAAGAGCAAAATAAAAGAAATATAATTCAGCATACATTTGCTCATGATAATTTCTGTTTTATATTTATTTTACATTTCCCATTGTTAATCTTCAGGACTATTTTAAGACATTGAAATACACACACACACACACACATTTATTTGCCTATCTTTTATTTTCTTAATTTCCATTTTAAAAAAGTAATAATAATTAGCTTACTGTAATGTCATAATTTGTTTCTTTATATCCCATATTTGCTCCAAATTGCAAACAGTTACATTAACAGAAATTTAAAATTAACTAGTAGCAAAATAATGCTGTGAGATCCA